TTTTTCCGGCGGATTTACAAAATTCTTTTCCAATTTATCTAAAAATTTATTTCGTAAAGACAATTAAAAAGGCCCACCATGAAAACAGTTAAATAAAATTAGGGCTGAATAAAATATCTAAAATCATTTAATATTTTTTGAATAATGTACTTCGCCACTGACTTCTTTAAGTCGTTTAGCTGCTTGTTCGGCAGTTAGATCCCGTTGTATTTCGCCGAATAATTCAAAGCCCACCATAAATTTACGCACGGTTGCTGATCTGAGTAAAGGAGGATAGTAAATGGCATGCAAAGTCCAATGCCTGTTATCAAGTTTGTCCATTTCACCGGTGGGGGCGCCGTGGAAACCCATAGAGTATGGAAAACTGCATTCAAATAAATTGTCATACTTAGTGGTCAGTTGTTTAATTGTATGAGCTAAACTCTTTTTTTGTCTCTCAGTTAGATCATTTAATCGTTTATTGTTATTGCGCGATAAGAGCATCGTTTCAAATGGCCAAGCAGCCCAATAGGGGACAACTACTAACCAATCTGCATTTTCTATAACAATTCGCTCTTTTCTCTCCAGTTCCTTATTTATGTAGTCGTTTAATAGAGGTCTTTGATATTTTTCAAAGTATTTCTTAAGGAATGCATCTTTAATAAAAGGTTCTGTTGGCAAAAACGAACATGCCCAAATCTGGCAATGAGGGTGAGAATTCGAACAACCCATGGCTGATCCTTTATTTTCAAATATCTGTACCCAAGAATATTTACGACTTAAATCATTAAATTGATTTATCCATTCGTCTACTATCAACTCGATTTCTTCTATGGATATCAGGGGCAATGTTAAATTTGATTTGCCATGAAAGCACATAACACGGCAAATGCCTGTGGCAGAAGAAGTCTGAAATAGGGGATCATCACTCGTGGGTGGTTCTGGAACGTTGTCTAAAAGAGCCGGAAAATCATTTGTAAACACAAAAGTATTTTTATAATCAGGATTTTTCTACAAATAAAACGGATAAATAATACGGAATTTAAAGTCTACTATCAAGAGCTTACAGCACCATTCGGTCTAATAACTCCTGGGCACAATGGATTATTAGCATCAAATTCAGGTATATTATCTAGAGATTGTGGCAACTCTTGTTGGCCCGACCAAGGCCTTAGCATGCGATGTGGGCTGACTAAAATCCATTTACCGTTCAAAGGATTTAATCTTCTGTGTTGATGTTCTAAAATTAAAAAGTTATTGGCCTTAAGCAAAGAAGCAAAAATATTAAACTGAGTTTTCTACCAGCTGGTATAAATTCCATTATCCCTCTATAAATTATTTGTACAGTTCGTTATCGTGAGGAATAATTGCAATTTTCATAATAATCTTCGATAACAGAGAGATTAACGCGCAAACTTATAAAAAAAGTTTATCAATACATCGAACACAAACTATTGTATCTCTTCGTTTTCCATAAGTAAGAATGAACCAGAACTACGTCGCACCCATATGCCATATCTTATTGTTAATAACTCTTCTATGCAACTACCCAATTTAATCGAAGCATTTTAGCTTGATTTGTTGACAGAATAATAGATAGAAAACAAAACAAGGAAATTTATGTACTTTGCGCATGTTGTTGTTGTTGAATTTTCTTACATGGTAAATGTGGCGACCCCTAAGACACCTCAGCCAGATAAATAACCAAAATAAACAAAAGCAAACACACTTGCCGTTAAATTTTAATTACTATTCCACGCGAACTATAGAGATAACCATATGCGCGTAGAGAAAGAAGTACAAAGAAACAAAAAAGAGAACGTCAAAAAGGGGAGTATTCGGAACATTGAGGCTGCCAGACAGATACGTAAGCATATAAAGAATAAAAATTAAAAAGCTATCATACAGAAAATCCTTAAAGAGTGGAAACACATAAAAGCTTTAGCGATTTAAGTTGAACACAATACAAGAAAATAGTAATGACACTAAGAATTTTTTTTCTAATTGTACATGTACTAATTGATTTCAATGCAACAACAACTTCAACGCTATAAAACTACCGTCGATTATAGACCTTGCATGGTCTATGATCCATGACTTTGCAGACGATCTTCCCACATGCTCGCTTTCAATTTTTTCTTCTACGTATGACGTGTGGACGTATGGCTAGACTATCGCGTGATCATGCACTGAATACTACTTTGAAACATACTCACTATTTTCGTATATTAATTGAAAGTATGAATAAGTTCTAAGCCATTTTGATACCAAATACTACGAAACTGTTTAGGTTTTACATTATAGGTTAAGTTATATGGTATGCATAAAAATTTAAATTAATTTTAAATTGCTAAATATTAGCAAAAGCCATATTTGTCTATTAATCGTTTGTTGTTGTATATCCGTTATAGCCAGGTACGCATGTCCGTTGGGTCGCGTTCTAACACATTTATCCGTCAATTCATTTGTCTTTTTAAAATTGGTATGACTTTTATTTCTCTTTATGCCACGCCTTATTCTGCGCTTAAAACAGCAGCTACATGCAATAAAATAAAAATAATAATATCTATCAGATTATACAGCCACGATGAACTGAGCACCACCAACCTTGAAAACTTATTTGAATTTCTTGGTTTCTCCGTATACTCTCATATATAAATAATTCAGTTCCATGACAGCTATTTTTAATGAGGACTTTTTTATTCGAGTTTTTTTTTTTAAATTTGTTCGCCTATGTACAGGTTTACTCTTCTTTTCGCAATCTAATCTAACATGAAATCTTTCTAACACAGCACATACATGTACGTGGAAATACTCTTTGAATGCACTTGTGGGCGTGCTTATCAATCATCAATTCTTTTTATACAAAATTCACGTATACATATGGGGACGGCAAAATAAGCGTACGTAGATGGGAGGATATTATTTACTCTTATCGTCCTACTGGATGTTACACTTATCATTTATTGATAAGGTAAAAACATTGCCACAGAGTTTAGAGTTACGTTAAGCATAAATCAAAACTTGAAAGAAGTTCACTTCAAAAATACCACATGTTCTCAAGTAGATAGTAAAATAGGTAAAAAGTTGAATCAATTGAAACAGTCAATAGCCGGTATAGCAACCATTGCTTTTAAGGACAGCTTCGGTTTTTGCAGGCTTGGATTAAATTAATTATTGCAGGTCCCTCTTTACTGAAATATATATATACCATACTTCTTGAATATTTTTCACAATTCGCTATAGGAAATCTGACGATTAAGTTCTCCGCAAAGATTCTAAACACGATTGCGGCTGCGGGTGAATGATATAGACAGTTCAGTTCACAAGCAAGATATGATGATCTAGGTGCCACGAGTGGCATATTGTCTACGGCACACGATAGCATAGCAGTTTCTAACAAATTTTTACATGCAAACATGTCGTACATAACATTTCTTCTGACATGTATCGGGCCTCCAAGGCCTCGGGCATTACTTTTCACAACTTTAAAGAGAGCGCACCTATTTCACTGTCAAAGTAAAAAGGCTACTAAATGCAGTAAAAAGCTGAAAGCTTTCAGCTTTTAAAGCTTTCAGCTTTTTACTGCAAGGAGTAGCTCGCATTTGATTGCGATGATTAGTTTTGAACGGTGCTGCCACATGTGAAAACGTTGTGTCAGCTTTGTAGAGGTTACCTTTTACAATTTCTATTCCATGGAAGCGACTTTCCACTATCTTGTGTAATTCCCTCCGTGTTTTTTACTTTTCGAGAATTTCGTTACTGGCGAAATGTATGGTCTTCGCAACAGTACTAACCGCCAAGTGAATTTATGCAATTAAAAAAAAGGTTTAATAATATGAACAGAAATCTTAAAGATGTTATTACTAGGATTTTGGATAAGAAATGAGCAGTTCTCGATTGGTAACAAAAGTGCACCATTGAAGGACAAAGAAAAGTTCTTAACGGAATATACGAAAGCAATACAATAAAATTCCAATCCGAAAGTAAATACCATACGTTACTTTCGTTTCAATGGACTGATGATGCGACATACCACGTCACGTATACATATGTAAATCTATGAAATGTATTTCTTCTTCTTCTTTTATGGAAACTCTTACTGTTCAAGTGGAATTAACTGCACAAACGGTATCGATCGCGTGAACGGGTTAATAACGAAAATGCGTAAATAAATTGCATATTAATTGATTGCCCCTACAACTATCAATGTCTTGCGCATGCCGAGTTTTGAAGAAATCTATCAATTTGTGTCATAATGTTCATGTGGGCTATAGCCACGTACCTACCTACTTCTCTTCCGCGTACTTCTTTCTGCCCGTCTGCGTATTACACAGTGACTTCAGGGATGGAGATCTCATCATATGAGGAAAAGAAAAAGTAATGTATTCATATATACGGTACTTACATATATCTGCTTTCTGCAAGAGAAGATCATATGATTGCATCCTATATTTCTTCCATACCTCCTTTTGAATTGAAACCAATTTCGTATATTTCTTCCACACCTCCTTCTGAATTCATGTGTTTTTTTTTGTATATTTTTCAATTGAATTTATGGAAACGCTATAGTCGAAAACTTGGAAGTAGAATACAGACATTTGCCCAGCAAATTCAGACTTCGGTGTATTAGTAAACCCATTGGGACTATTTCTTGGCCCTTGGTCGAATATCTCGGTAACAATTTCTGAGAAATCGCATTAGTGGCATATTAGTCAATTCTTTAATGAAACTATCGTCCGGATCTGCAATTTTCTCATCAATCACAAGGTCTTGGAGTTATCTTAGCTTTTTGGAAAGTTGTGCAGTCAAGTAATTTGGTGTAGCATAAGAAAGAGTCGGTATTGCTTAGTTAAAGCTTTTTTGCTTCTATGTGAGTACACGAACATGTATATACAAATGCATAATTGAAGTAAATTTCTTTCACGATTTTTCTAAGCAATAAAATCATTGCCTTATATGCAAATATAACAACTAACAGGTTACCTAATACTGTGCCTGAAAGTGCGATTAAATTTTCTGATTTGATATCAGTATATAATGATATAGTTTGGAAAATTCTTTTGATTCAATTTTGCTATTGAGTGGATTCAAATGAAAAGTAAAGAAAAACAAAGCGGGGCGATAGATGAATCAAACCATTAGATGGAAGTCAGAGACAGCAAGCATCGTTAACTATTAAATCAAACGCAAATTTATTCTGACTCGAACAATCTTCACAACACTTTATTACAAATTTTATACAGTTTTTAACTCTCTCTCTTTTTGTTAGATTCTCATTTCCTCTATATATTTATGTTAAAATGCTTATGCCAGATAAAACTAATCGTTTATATCCAGGGAACTAAGAATTTTTTTATGCCATACACACAAACAAATTGCATATTGCCGAGTAGTCGTGAGTGAATCAACAGCTTAGGATTTTACAAGCGATGCAGTATCGAAAGCATGCACCCAAATACACTACATTGGAATTGGGTGACTGGTTCCAGTTGTACTTATTTGTTTTTGGTATACAGTTGCTTTACTTTAGTAAAGTCCAATAACTCGCCTTCGTTTATTATCGTCATCATTACCGTTATTCATCGCGGTTTTTTTTCGATTCATCCGGTAAAAAAAGGTGACTAACCTTCTTTTTTTGCTTTATATCGGAAAAGACGAAAATACTTTAAAGCAAATGCAAGCATTGCGGTCGAGCAAGTCCAATTTTCAATTCTCTACACAACTTTAAAGCAATTTTTTCAGCTCGTTCGAATCCATTTGCAATCTTACTCGCCCTTGAGTTAAACCACACTAATGTACGTCAAAATTATCAAATTTGTATATCCGGGTTTCAGACAAATGAATAGTTACATAGTGAAACGAATAAACAGTCTTAAATTAATTTAGCAAGCGATTCTGAACCGATTTGTATAATAACAAATGAATCGGTATTAAATTGTTCTGAGTTCTGAGTGATTGCTTACCCTTATACAGATTCCGCATGGGTGCCTATCATGAAAGTCTAGCCCTACGGCACGCGATGGCAAATGGGTTATCTTGGCAAGCGATAACCGACGCCCCTAGGGGCCCATTGGGTGTGAGCCATTTTCTCGTTTACTGGTATGCGTCGAGGCCTATCCAAGCACTACTTAGTCAGTTACCCACGAAACTTCGGGGTAACCACAGCAACTACGATACTCCCCGAAGGACCAGCAGTCAGGCAAGATGGCATCTATTCCGACAGTTAGATGTGTAGTGCATCTACGTATCCGACTTTTGGGTAACCTGATCCCCGTGAACGCCCATTAACTTCATGACTTATCGTTCAGTTAAAGAAATTACGCTATCTTATGCAGTTTTGAGTTATCTTTTACTTTGCTACACACATCCGCAGCCACCCTTGCCTTTGGACCACGACGCACGTCCCGAAAATCCATCAAAACACTATCCTTTCTCGAGCAAATAATGGTTCCGAGGTTGTCATCATACAGCACACACCCAAATGTGCCCCAGCCCATTTAAATATCGCAGACCTTTATGTATTTGATAATATCGTTAAAAGCGAACCAAAAGGGGGAACACAAAAGATGCACATCTTAGGCTTCCACGAGAAAAACCCGTCGCTACTTTATAGATAGCTAACCTTAAATCCTTCTTTGTCGTTGAACTAAGCAACTCCCCAACGATGATTTTCTTACATCTCAGAAACTCACTGAACGCGGAAGACATTTGAGTTCGGCTCACTCAATAAAGATTCCTGTTGTTTCTGTTGTTGCCGTTTTTTTTTTCCAACTTATTCTTCAAAAATCTG